AGTCGGGGACAAAACGTCGGTAATACCCTGCCATCCCCAGGAAGGCCAGCACTTGGGTCTTGGTGATAGGTGTGGGCCAGTTAGCTACAGCCTCTATCTTGGCTGGCTCTGGTCGCTGGCTCCCACATCCTACCCTGTGACCCAAGTACTGCACTTCTGCCATGCCTAAATGGCACTTGTCTGGCTTCAAGGTCAGGCCTGTGGCCCGAATCTTGTCCAGCACCACCCCTACGTGTACTAAGTGTTCTTCCCAGAACTCACTGTAGAACGCAATGTCATCCAGGTATGCACATGCAAATTCCTGGAAGCCATCGAGGAGCCTATCCACCATACGCTGGAAGGTAGCCGGAGCATTCTTCATCCCAAATGGCATAACCTTAAACTGGTACAGGCCAAATGGGATGACGAATGCCGACTTAGGGATAGCATCCTCGGCCAGGGGGATCTGCCAATAACCTTTGCACAGGTCAATGGTGGTCAAATAGCGCCCTCTGGCAATGCGGTCTAATAACTCGTCTACCCGGGGCATCGGGTAGGCGTCAGTGGTGGTCCGCTCGTTGAGTCGCCTGTAGTCCACACAGAACCGAGTGGTCCCATCCTTCTTAGGCACCAGGACTACAGGGGAGGCCCAAGGGCTGTCTGAGTGCTCGATAACCCCCAGCCTGGTCATCTCTTGTATCTCCTTCCGCATTCCTTCTCGGACTGCTTCAGGGATACTTAATGGGGGTTGTCGTAGGGGGTTCTGTCCGGGTGTCTCGACCTTGTGCACAGCTAGGGTAGTGTACCCGGGTTCTTGGGAGAACGTCACCTGCTTCTCCCACAGAAGCTGTCTTGCCTGTACCTTCTCTGCCGGGTTTAGCCGGTCCCCTAGCTGTACAAGACTAGTAAGGTCAGTCTGGGGATCCTTCTATAATAAATCAGGTAAGGGTAAATTCTCGGGGTCATCAGTAGCTGGGGCACATACTGCCGCAACATCCTCTGGTCTCTCCTGATACTCCTACAGCATGTTCACATGAAAGGATCGCTGAATCCTTTCATCTGTACAGCTGGCTATAAGATAGGTAGTATCACCCGAGCTAACACTTTATACGGGCCCTGCCAAGATGCTTGCATCTTGTTCGTCTTCACAGGCTTGAGAACTAGAACCTTCTGCCCAACCTGGAAGACCCGCTGTCGGGCACCCCGATCGTACCACCTCTTCTGTCTCCCCTTTGCTGCCTGGAGATTCTCCCTTACCATCAGGGACAGTTTCTCCATGCAGTCCTGGAGTTCCAGAACGTATGGCACGATGGGGGTTCCCTCTTGCTCCGTCTCTCCCTCCCAGTGTCCTCTAATGAGATCTAGGGGTCCGCGGACCCTTCTCCCATAGAGTAGCTCCAAGGGAGAGAACCCAGTAGATTCCTGGGGCACCTCTCTGTATGCAAATAGCAGATGAGGCAGGAATCGCTCCCAGTCTCTGCAAGTGTCAGTAAAGGTCCACAACATCTGTTTGAGGGTGCCATTAAATCGTTCGCAGAGACCGTTAGTCTGTGGGTGATAAGGTGAGCTAAGCAGAGGTTTAATGCCGCACACCTTCCACAGCTGCTGGGTAAGCACAGCGGTGAACTGAGTTCCCTGATCGGAGAGGATCTCCTGAGGGAACCCGACCCTAGTGAAAAGTTTAACCAGGGCATTAGCAACCGTCTCGCCTCTATATTAGACAGCGCTACTGCCTCTGGATAACGTGTGGCATAGTCCACCACGGTAAGAATGTATTTCTTACCTGATGGGCTAGCCCTGGCCAGTGGACCCACAATGTCAACGGCTATGCGGGAAAAGGGTTCTCCAATGATAGGCATCGACTGAAGCCTAGCCTTTGGGTGATCCCCCCGCTTACCTACCCGTTGACAGGTGTCACATGTGCTACAATAAACCCGCACATCTCGGTTAAAATTGGGCCAGAAAAAGTTTTGGATGATTCTATGAGCTGTGCGGCGGGAACCTAGATGGCCCGCTAACGGCACATCATGCCCAATCCGCAGAATATCCTGTCGATTCTGCGGTGGGGTACTCAGTTTCTGGGACGGTTTCGGGATCCTGTACAGCCTATCCCCCACCCACTCATAATGTTCCCCATCTACTCCTTCTCCCCCAGAATCGGCCCTGGCCCTGTACTTTGCTAACGCCGGGTCTTCCCTAGTTTCCTTCCCGTACATCTCTGGGGTATCCCAGCCTAAAGGGGCCTGGTCTAGGGTACACGTCGGGGTAGAGAGTCTTAACTGGGTCTCAGCAGCAGGTGGGCCGGTCTCGGCGGCACGGGTCTGGGCACGGGTCGTGACAGCGTCCACTTCAGCTGGACCCATAGGAGCGAAGGCTGAAACAAGGGGCGCCAAGTCATTGCCAAGGAGGACATCTGCTGGTAAGTCCTTCATGACCCCCAGATTCACATGTCTAGCGCCCACTCCCCAATCCAAATGTACCCGGGAAACGGGTAGACGAAACACGGCACCCCCGGCTACTCGCACTGCGACCGTGTCCCCGGTATGTTGGGCTTCGGATACAGGTGCTTCTGGAGCAAAGTCATGGTTGCACTGGTATCCCGTAGACCACTGACCTCCTTCCCATTGACCTTTGCACATTGCCGGTGGTGCTGTCTGTTATCCCGGTGGGCAGCTTGAATGGGGTCTGCCTCATGCAGGATGTCCCAGCACTCCTCTTCCTCTACACAGTGAGCCGCTGGGAGAGGTGGTCGTGGATTGCCTCCGGCGGGTCTCCTCCAGGACTGGTTCTGGTTGGCACTGTTCATTGGGCACTCCGGTCGCTTGTGCCCTGCCTGTTTGCATAGGTAGCACCGAATGGGTTGTGAGTACTCCCGTGAGTTAAACCGGGGTGGCTCTTGGTACTGGGCAGACGGAGGGGGTGCTGACGGCCGATTCATTGGAGGCTGATAGATGTTAGCTGCTGTTGGTGCTGCTGGCCTGTATTCCACTCTGGCGGGAGCCTTGCTGATGGAACTGTCCATTTTGCGGGCATCTCTATACTCATTCGCCAGGTGAGCTGCTTCATGTAGAGTGGAGGGTTTACGGTCCCTTACCCACTCTCTGACCCCTGCTAGTAATTTGTCAAAGCAATGCTCCAATAGAAACATCTGCAGCACCTCTTCTCCGGACACAGCCTGGCACCCCGCCATCCAGTGGGCGGCTGTGCGGTGCACTTTACATGCCCATTCAACGTAAGAGTACCCAGCTGTTTTAACAGTGTTTCGGAACCTCCTCCTGTATGCCTCGGGTGTAACGGCATACCGGGAAAGTAAAGCTTCCCTGACGGCCACATAATCCCCGATCTCCTCATCAGGAATGGCCCGAAAAGCCTCGCTGGCCCGGCCGGATAACTTGACGGACAATATAGTAACCCAGTCTTCCAGGGATACCTTGTGCAGGGCACATTGCCGCTCAAAATCAGCAAGGTACCCATCAATCTCTCTTTCTGTCTCACTGAAGGCTTTAAATGCAGTAAACGGCACTTTCTTTCTTTCCCCCGGGTTTGCTGTGATTGGGGCTGCTGCAGCACCGCTTTGGCATAGCAGGTTGGCCTCCACAGCGGCCATGACCTGGGTGATGATCTCTGCAGACGGGTTGGGACCATAATGTGCCAGCCTGATTCTTACCGCCCAGTCAAAGCTTGCCTCCTCGGGGGTTCTGTCAGCTGTGCTGGGTCCATTGGTTCCCTCTGCCGCTGGTACTCCATCCATTTCCAGCAATAACGCAATAATATCCCTCTTCCTGAGGTTACTGGCTTGTCCACCTCTTTGTTCTAATAAATCTTTCAGGGTAGCTCTTCTCAGGTTTTGATATTGTAATTCCATTTAATCCTGGTTGTAGTGGTCTCTTTGGGCGCTGAGGATCATCCCGTCGCTTGCCACCAGTTGTTACGGTACCTCCAGTAATAAATGCACAAACCGCCGTTTAGTGAATGCTCCCCATTCGCAATAATGTAGTCTGGTAGCGTATGCAGTATAACCATGCGAACCACCAGCTAGGGAACACTCCAAACTCCCGAACGGTACCTGTACGGCTTCTTCCCTTCATGAGCTCCAAATGCACGAATCGCCAATAGCAGCCGAACAGCAATAGTTTCCAAGCGGCAAATAATCCCAATAAGCAGTCTCTAGTCGCCGGTAATAAAATCCCCCCAATAACGAGACCAAGCTCCGCTTTGAGGGTAAAACATGAACTGAGTTTACTGTGGGCTACCTGCCCGTATTTATGCAGGTCTCCCACTTGGTGGACACTCCCCTAGGGGACCAAATGGGAGACTGGAATTACAGAAGGACATGGGGACATTTCGGACATACATCCCCACAATATTCCCAGCATGCATCACAGTTTCCTCCCTTCTTCTCGGGAGATAATTGGGAAGTAATTCAATTATCTCCCAGAGCAGAGGCAAATCGCCATTTTAACTCAAAGTTACAAAACACATTAAAATACATAACTTTATAACTGTCGAACGTATTGCATTCGTATTATACATCCCCAGATAGCCTGTATCTGAGTGCATATTATTGGCGAATAGCGCTCAGATCCTATACGCACAGTTCAATCGCCATGGAGTCAAAGTCTATTACAGTTCTTTGGTATGCGATTGACTCCATGGGAAGGCTATCTGGGTCCATTCGTGTTGTTAAACAGGGCCGGTGCAAGGACTTCTGTCTACACAGGCGAAGACACATTTTGCTGCCCCCAAAATTTATCTTCACCTGTCTGTCTAATATTCCCACTTTTGCCCCTCTTACCAATTATTTTTGCCCCTTTGCATCTTACCACCTTTTTCTCTTGTTTTCCTTTTTTTGTATATTGTATCCTGTCTGGCATTATTTTTTACGTGTTTTGTGTCTTCATCCTACTTTTCTTTACCCCCTTGCGTCACACACTCACTCGCTCATACACACACACACACACACTGACCATAACACACACACACTGGCTCTAACGCACACAGTCTCTTACACACTTCGACGGCTTATACACACTCACCGGCTCTAACAGACACACACAAACAGTCTCTTACACACACTGCTTATACACACTCACTAGCTGTAACACACACACAGTTTCTCACACACACACACTGCTTTACACTCACACAGTCTCTTACACACACACAGTTTATAGACACACACACTAACTCTTACACACACACACACACACACTGGCTATAACACGCACACACACACTAGCTCTTACATACACACACTGGCTCTAACACACACACATTAACACACACACACACTAACTCTTACATTCACACACTGGCTCTAACACACACACATTAACACACACACTAACTCTTACATACACACACTGGCTCTAACACACACACATTAACACACACACAAACTCTTACACACACACACACTGGCTCTAACACGCACACACACTAACTCTTACATACACACACTGGCTCTAACACACACACTAACTCTTACATACACACACTGGCTCTAACACACACACTAACTCTTACACACACACACACACACACACACTAACTCTTACACACACACACACTAACTCTTACACATACACACACACTAACTCTTACACACACACTAACTCACACACATTAACACACACACACACACATACACTGGCTAACACACACACTAACTCACACACACACTTACTGTTTCTTATAGTTGCAAAACAGAGGTCCCGCTGCACTGTTGTAGCTTTCCTCCACAGCAGTTGGCCGCCGGGATATGATGTCACGTATCCCAGCGGCCTGTAGCTCAGGAAGAGAGTTGCCGCGGTTGCTCCTCGCTGTTCCGCCCCCTTCCCTCAGTGGGTGCACGTTTCTCAGCCAGCTGATTAGATTGCTGCAGAAATTGACCGGCGGGAGCGGAATTCTCCGTGCTCCCGCCAGTCACTCGGACATTTTTGCGCCCCTTGGGTCCATGCGCCCTAAGGCGGCCGCTTGTGCCACCTTATGGTAGCGCCAGCCCTGTTGTTAAATCTCCCGAACGGCCGGTATTCGTATGATTTTGTCGATTGAGAAGGGGAGGTCAACGGCTTCGGCGGTGTTCGGTTGAAAAAGTGTCCGTTTTGAGTTCCATGAAATAACTGAACACCGCTGGGCTTTCGCATAGTTAAAATGGCCGCCGCCTCGTGGTCAACATACGAACGACGACCACCCGGTATTCGGTTTTAATTGAGAAGTGTCTGTGGTTAACCGCAACGTTCTAATTGGGATCAATAAGTTAACCAGCAGCACACTTCTCTTCTGGGTGGCCGTCCGTTCGGTAGTTCCGTTCGACAAAAAAAATACATTCCCTTAATCAAAGGCATATGAATGGGGAAATTCATGCAAACGGCAAAACAGACGAACATAGTAACTTTAGTCCATACAGATGATGTAGAATTATTAAAATCTTTATTAGAACCTGTATTGAATTATTGTACTAACTCCATTTTAATCTCACACTATGACAGAATTCTCCATTTTGTTCACCTTACATGACAGAATTTCCTGACAGTATTCAGTATAATGAATAAGAGATTGTATTTTCTCTCTCTAAGGACATAACTAGCCCCGGAGTTAGCGGATCTCCGTTGACTTGCAACATAGTATAATCCAAGGCCAGGAGAACAGCGACAAAATGAAATGTTCTATTCATAAAAGAACCTTGGAACAGACCACGAGACTGACATCACTAACTACGTAAAATGACGCCCAAGCCCCCCTTTCCACCGAGTAAGCCTCGTGCTAAAGAGCAATGGCGACGACATCCCATGATGGGAGGGTGCCTCACTAGTCACTCAAATCTCTGAGCCAATTAATAATATTAATGGGTGGACACTGACATAGCCACTTAACATTTAACCCAATTAATGATGTTTATTTGTTATTATCTGATATTCAATGATGATGTCATTTTGCATATAAAAAGGCCTGCGTGCCCGCTTTTTAACTAGATGCTAATAAATTTCCTGAAGTGTTTTTAACCTGAACTACATGTGTCAGTGTGAACTTACTTCTGTGTATACGCAATTTATTCATCTCAGATTTGGACAGGAACAGATAGACTTTTAAACATTTTTGTTTATTTCTAAATTAATCTACATCAATCTGGCGCCCAACGTGGGGCATCGGGCTATGGCCTCCGGCCGGTAAGCCGTCCTAAGGAAGACGCTGTTGGACGGAGGAATCGGGGGGGAAGGAAGAGAGACTGATCACCTCTGAGTACACGGTAGAGACTTCTGCAGGAGCCACCGGTATGTTCCAGCCCCTTTGATTGACCCGTCCACGTGTCTGTGACTGCTTCCCGGGAGGGCATCAAAGACAGGTAATATCTTGCCCGGTGTCTTGTTACCCATTTGTTTACCTGCATTTAGTCTATCTGTTGCCTGGGTGTGCTAGTGGTATATGTTTTGTTCTTTCCCTCTTTTGGGATAAAGGGGGGTGGACCCGTGGGTGGTTGCCTGGGGGTCTTCTGTTGCCTGTTTTTACCCCTTTTTAGGAGTCACTTGGCCCAGACTGTTGGGAAAAAAGGGGGGGTGGACCTGTGGGGATTTTCCAAAGGGGTCCTGTTTTCCTGTTTACTTCTTTTAGGTACTGTCTAGCTAACAGTAGTAAGGAAAAAGAAGGGTTGGGGGATTCTGTGGAGGGGACTTGCCTCCTGGGGTTTCCCGGTTACGTCACTTTGATATTCTAGCTAGCCTCATTGTGTACGTTGCTCTGCTTGCAGAGGTTATGGTACCCTCCAGCTTCGAGCGCTGAGGCTGGTGGCATTCCAATTTATTTGTGGTGTGTGGATTCGGGCAGGCATTGTTGTCTCCATCACCACGGGGTAGTGTGACTTGTGGGTGGGTCCATAGGGAGCACTACGGGAGTGAGGATAGAGGTGGCCACACTTAGTGGACTGCTGTAACGAGGGAGGCATATGGATTTCGGGCCGGTGTTAGTCGTTATCCTTGGCCGCTGGTAGTGAAACTTACGAAAGTTGTTCTCCGAGCGGGGACACTACGAGATTGAGGGAGGTGGCCTTGGTGGCCACAAGAGTAAAGGAAAGGGATTACTGTTGATGCATGCACTGTATTTCAATTGAAATGTTGTATTAAATGTTGTCTTAAGTGTGGAGTCATTCAAACTCCTGGGTCTGTCTCTACTTTCACTGTTTACTTTTACTTTACTTCCTGTACTATTTACACTATCCACTCCTATTTCTCTTGAAAGAGAAGTGATTGGTCACACACTTCTCACCCCGCTCCAATCCGTGGTTACCATCGAGGGTACACGGATTCAGTGACTGGTCTACGTTTTGGGAAGACGCACTGGGAGGGACCCACCCTACCTAGTGGCAGTCGAGCATTGTAGACGTTCTGTTTCATTTTCCTTTACCTATACTTGGGACGCTTTGTATAGGGGGATATGGGACAGGAAATGAGTAAGCCCGCTAGGGGCTGGCTCGCGTGTGATTTACTTGAAGATAGAGAAGGTGAAGAACTGGTTAAAAATGTTGCAAAGATTGTTAAAGTGTGTAAAATTGCTGTGCCTTCATGTGGTAGATTACAGCCAGAAAGCTGGCGTAGATTACTGACAGAGAAGAAAGGCAAGCTTACAGATAATGATTTATTACGTACTGCTGAAGCATGGTACAGAGTAGCAAAGGCTATCCAGCAGGAGGGTTGGGTAGAGGAAGAGATAAATCATAAAGGTTTAAGATTGTTTGTGTATTATAATAATTGTGTCACTGGATGCTGATGGATCCCTATTCTCCCACCCCCCCATCAGTCCTACAGATCTCGTCACCCTCATCCTCTCTCTGCAGCTCCCTGCACCTCCAGTCCGTTTCTCCCGTCAAAGATTTCTGGTTTCCAAACGTATAAGTCTCTGTCCTTCTGTCTTGTTACTTTCCAGCACTCACATGGTTAATCTTCATGCCTGCAGCTTCACTCCCTTTTTTGCACTGTCTAACTTTCTCCCCCCCTCTCCTCCCCGCTTGCCTGCATTTCTACTGATAAGAGTATAAGGTACTGAGGATTGTGGGAGTGACGAGCTCACAAGATTGCATTCAGTGTTGAATACGGGATTTAGGAAGGTGTAGAGGGAATATGCGATGTTGTTAAGTCAGTATAAGAGGAGGAAAGTGATTAATGGTTTGAGGAAGATAAGGGAAATTGGTTGAATTCCGTGAGTTTATTTTGCATCATTTTATTATTTTAAAGTTATTTTAAAGTACATGTTTCTAGAAACAGCTGTATGGGCTGTTAAATGCATAATGTTCTCAACTGTCTTATTTAACCTGCCAGGTCTGTTCATAGTTTAGTATTTCATTTTGCAGAACGGAATGTTGCTTCTCTGACTTATTTTAATAGTTTTAATATAGTGTATGGTTGAAAGTACGTCAGCCACCACCCTAAAGATGGCGCCTAGTACAGAAGGAGGTTGACCCTGCCAGTCCCGTGACCTATCTACAGTCACGGTTGCTTCTAAAGTGACGTCACTTCCGCCCTTACCATGCCCACACCTCCTGTCTTCCTTTCCCACACATATCATGGACGTCACCCCTCTCACTTCCTCCCTTGCTGTCATTTCCTTCCCCGCCCCTGTCATGGCTGCCTCCATCATGAGGCCTACCCCTATTATGCTCGTCCCATTTAGAGACATGTTGTTTTCCTTACACTCTACATATTATGAACTGAAACATTATAATTACTAAAACAATCATGCCATTTGTTTCCCTGTATCAACAATTTGTCCGTGATATAAAAAAAAAGAAGGTTGCTAAAATGTAATTTGCAAATGTGGTGTGACCTACAAATGAGATCTGTTGGACACGAATATAAGAGCATAACAGCTGATTATCCAGATTAATCTTGCAACAAGGGAAATAGCCAAATAATGCAAGTTATTTTAAACATTGTATCTTTACTTAATCGAATCTTGCTAGTTACAGATCGTATGTTTACAGTAACATCCTTTACTTTAAATGATGGTTTAGCATTAGAAGGGTTTGTGACATGTTTTATTAACCCAGCCACTACTGGTTATTCATTTTAGTTACAGGGTGGTATAATTGTTATAGTCTAATTGATATAAATGATAGTACCGCAATAGTTAATGTTTTATCCAAAGACATATAGGAACTTTACTTCACTTACTATTAACCATTATTTATAATGATAGACATGTTCAGACTGCAAAAAGCTATGGCTAATGACATAGAAAGGGGTTTGAGTCAGTAACACAGCCCATACAGAGGAGAGCAAACCCGCTGATGCTTAATGCCCCTGCCATGGCAGTGTCTACAGGGAACAAGGGGGGCCACTAGCCACTGTAACTTTACCTATTGAAGGACACCCTACT